TAGTGTGATCCGGCTGTCTGGGCCCACCTCCAGCCACCTTCTGACAGCAGCAAGGAGCAGGGGGTGCTGAGCACCCACCACAAGCCTTGAAGCCAAGATGTGTCTGCCTGCCCCCTCCCCGGCCTTCCTGCCCACTGGGCCGTGATATGAAGTATTCAGGGACCCTTATGAGCTTCCAGGGGCTCAATTCAAACTCCTTCCTTCAAATCCAAATTTCAGAGAGAGGAGAAAAGAGTGGCAGAAACAGCCCTCCCAACCCCGCACGGCAAAAACAAACTTCATATATCTGAAGGTGATTAACTGTCTTTATTGGAGGAAAACAAGAAGTCATCAGTCTCATTATCATTATGATAGAAATCTTGATATGTGTACATGATTGTCAAGGCAGAGAATCATTTGCTACACAGGCCCGTTGACAGTTTTGCAGTGCCGCAACCCGTGGGGGGTAAACTTCTTGCAGAGTTTATTACATGCACGGAATAAATGCACAGTTTCCCTTCTTTTGGACAAGCATGTTTTTTACAGAAAATTTGAACCAGTTGCAAGCCTGGTAACAATAGACACGGGGGGACATTCCTGGGTTTGACGTCATAAGCTTTTGGAAAACGTGCTCACTGCTGGGAGAGCTGCAAGAAGGCCTATGCCGCTATGTGCGGTGACCAAAGCCAATTTAGAAATTGTTCCCAATTGTATTCTGGACAGAATGTACCTTTTTTTTTTTTGTCTTCCAACCTCAACGTGGGGCTGAGATAAATGTCCTCTGAAATGCTGCAATGTTGCAGCATTGTTGTCATGAACAAGATGTTTTTGTTTTTGGAACATGTTTTTGGAACATGTCAAAAAGCTGGCTGCCAGCCCTGCCCCAGCACGCCTGCCCCACCAAATGCAGGGCTACTGTGAGGGTCAGCGACCCCCCGTCTGTCCAGGAGAAGGTTTTCCTTTGCGAAGTAATTTATCTAGTGTTCGGGGCTTTTGATTCCCTGGTGATCTTATCTCTCTGACTAAAACCTCAAACACTCCTTTCACTTTCTTTTTTCCTGTCCACAAGAAAATAAAATCACCTCAAAGTAAAATAAGTTGGTAAATCATCAGAAGACATAATCAACATAGGAGAAGTTCCTTGGAGACCAAAAGGTTTAAAATGGAGACGGCGAATGCAGAAGCAGCATTGGTACAAAGGGGGAAATGCAATAGTTAGTCCCTTTGGTGTAGAGAGATACAGATACTGAGAAGCCATTCCACACTTTGTCCACGAAACCAGGCCTGGCAGCCACATGCTGCAGGGTTGGCTGCCAAATGCACAGCCTTTGGGTTTGCAGAAGCAGAGGCCCCTGGAGCCACAAGCCGAACTGCTCCTGCTGCAGGTGGCAGGGAAGGCAGGAAGGGCTGGTGTTTCTTCCCGTCTGAGTCGGTGCGATGCAGTGCAGGAGGCGGGCCAGGCCGCGGCCAGCATGCGGGGCCGACTTCACAGTGGGGCTGGGCTCCTGGGCCCACGCCTGGGCTGCAGATCGCGATGCATGCAGACCACAATGAAGGCGGGGGCCGCAGGGGGCTCAGGCCTCTATCCTCCTCCTCATCCCTGCCTGCTGTCCAGCGTAGAGGTTTCCAAGCGATCTCATCCGCGCACTAGTTTCCTTGGCATTGTCAGGAAGCAAGCTCCTCTTTCAGAAATCTGCCCAGTTCACCTTTCCTATCTGAAAATGTTGATTTTCAATTCTGAAAACCAAAGACTGGAACACTTTTTGGCCAGTGACAGGTACACTTGCAGCCCCAACCAGCCCCCAGCCCCTTGCAAAGAGTGGTGGGTTACATACAGGTATATACATTTAAAAAAAAACAAACAAACTGAACAGTGTTTGGTCTGGAATGTGTTTAAGGAAAAGGCCAGCTTTTCAGAGTGTGACTGCGCAGAATGGGGAGTGGTGCTGTTTCAGAACATGCAGAGGCGTCGTGCACCGGCTGAATCGGAGGGCCTTCGTTTCCTTTGCCAGGAGTGATTGTGCGACCCTGGGGAAGAGTACGTCTTATTTCTGTTAATGGAAGTGGGAGGAGGTGCCCTTGGCTGGACCGTGCTGTTCCTTCTCACATCCAGAGGAAACCCAGCAGTGAGCTTGTGGAAGTCACACCAAGTTGGAGAGTTGCGGGTGCAGCACAGAGGCCACAACCCTCCTCCTCCTGCCTTCAGCCCTGAGCGATGGTTCCCACGTGGCTTCTCCAAGGTGAAGAATTAACACTGGACTGGGTTCTGGGTGGGTCACAGGGACGTGGTAGCCAAAGCCTTAAAATACTGAGTTATCTCCACCGGAATATGGCCTTTCCTTTCTGTTTAATATTGCTCATGAAAGATCAAACTCCAGGGGTTAATAAGATTATGCTGTCACTTCTCCAGAGAGAGGGTCAGCCCCTGTTCTCAAGAGGGGTCACTTGGGTTCCCTCCCTTTGTCTCTGGTGTCCCCTGGTCTGTTTTAAATGGGGGGGGGTCCCCCTGTCTTACTCACAATCTCGCCTGGGATATGCTGGATACCACGGGAGACAAATGAACAAGAGGAGATTAGTGCTGGGCAGGTAAACTGAGTCTGGAGGTCATATGCCAAATCCCTTTCATCAGCTCATGTTCCTTAAGCGCCCAAGCCTTGCCTGTTTAACCCCAAGCCTGACTTCCCAGCTCCTTGGACACTATGCTAAGAGCTAGCTGGACAGTGGGACTTTCTCAAAGGTCAGAAGCTCCTGTGCCAGGGGGAGGCTGCTCCCTGTTCCTGCAGTGAGATTTTAGAAGTGATGGGGATCACTGCCATGGTCAAGAACACCAAGCCACACTTGCCTTTGGGTGGGGGGTGGGGGTGGGTTGCTGCTTTCTGCATCTTTTTTTTTTAAAGGAAACATGAAGGGGTCATTATCTTTTCTTTCCTCCTATGGAGTCAGGGGCAGTAGGAGGTGGTGAGAACTGCCTACTGCAACAGCCACGTGCCGCCCTGGAATTGCTGTCCATCTGAGTATCTCTTCAAAGGTTTTCCGTGGAGGTGTGCACTTCAGTGGGCACTCTCTCTCTCGGCTCCAGCTGCCTTTACCCGACACTGCAGACCCCATGTGCTCGCTGAGGGACAGCAGTGTGTGGCCCAGACTCCAGGGTCCCCCAGTTAAGACAATCAGATGCCTATCTGGGCGTGCACTCACAGTTTCAGACAAACGCTAGCTTCCCCAATGGCCTCACTGCTGAGATGAAAATGAGGGAAGTAAGGGAGGGACAGACAGGCAGTGGAGGCCAAGATCACTCAAGGACACATTTCAAATGAGAAAAACAATCCACTTGCTCTGAGAAGGTGGAGAGACCAAGCTGGAGAGGGGTGGGTGTTGGAAGGCAGTCTGCGATGAAGCCGTGGTCCACCCTTAGCCTCGCTGCACACAGTGGCCTCGATGGGGAGTGTGAGCTGGACATCCACGTGCAAGGCTCAGCTTCTATAGGTGGAATTTGACAGCAGTGACAGTCCAATGACTTTGCCCCTCCACTTGGCAGGTGTTGTCAAAAGGCACACTGAGCTCTCTTCCCTGCTGTAATAAAGTGTAAATAATACCAAATACAGTTGAAAGAGAACTTTCATTCTTCTATTACTGAGGCGCTCTCAACAGAGCAAAGGTTCTTCCGTATCGGGGTTACTTTCTCCTCTTCCAAAAACAATCGGAAAAAACCTAAGTCTGGTGGCATTGGGACACTACAGGCTCGCCCAATGTCAAGTTCAACAGAGCCTACTTTGGGGCTGAAACCAGTGACCATCTCCCCGCACACTGCTGGGGCCCGATGTACTTCAGGCCAACTCGTCCTTCTTTCAACTCTTCTGTGCTTTCCAGGTTGGACATACTTTCAAACTAATTGCATATAACATGCACCTCACATATCAGCTCCAGCGAATAACTTAACCGCCTGTAAATTTGGCTTCAGATGTTGCCTTTTTAAGTGCAAGTGACTGCCTACAGCACATAGTACAAGAAGCTGCTAACTCTGCACGCACATG